AATTTCCCAGCTATATTAAATGGGTTAGTTAGGGAAAGTGTAGACGGGGAAACATTATTGACTACATATGATTGGGTTAATTTTAAATCGATAGCTAATGGTCAACTGCAGCTGTGTCAGCTGGCTCCCACACGTCGGGATAGCGAGTTGTCACAAGTATTAAATTAGTTGAATATGATAACAATATCAGCAAAATGGCAAAGAAAAATCAAATGAAATCGTTGCATTTTCGCAGTACTTATGCAAGGCAAAAAAACATTAAATATTTATAAAATACAAAAAACCAACACACATTCGCTGAGTTTAGTTTAGTTTGTTGTTTTGTATTTTATTTTTATTTTTTTTTCTTATTTCTTCTCTTTATAAGAACTGCAAATTGCATTTAATTGAGCTCTAAATGCAAATTTCTGGCGCTGCTGTGTTTTGATTTCATTGTTATAAGCGCGTGCGGTTTAAATGAATGTGCACCAGCATGCGGGGTATATATTTATTTCTTACTTTTCTCCAATTTTTTTCCTCTCTAATATTTTTCAGAGTGCATCATGTGGCTCCGCCATATCTATGCGTTTATATGAATAAGCGAACAGAGAGACGGATGGATAAATGGATGGATGGATGGTTGATGCCATATGGATGACTAACCGAGTGAACATATTCGACAGTATTTATTGTACAAATCGATTTAAAACTGGAGCTTTGGTCGAGTGAGATAAAGGGAGAGGTGAGAGATAGAGAGAGCACGGGGGGGGGGGGGGGGGGTTGAGAAAGGGGGAAATAAGAATCCACTACAAAATCAAAAAAAAATATCTTGAAATTTATTTTTTTGTTCTTTTGAGATTGGAAAACTTATTAAATTTGTAGTTTTCTGGCCAAGACTACTTTTAAGAAATCTATAGAACATTTACATTTGTATGCAGTCCATAGATTGCCCTCCAGATGTATTGTTTATTAATCAAACTGCAAACCGAACAGACATTGGTTCGGTTTAGCTGGATATTCACCTCAATGAATCTAGGTTACGGTTCCAACTATGGATCGACACATATAATACATTTATTCGATTACTAACTCTTTAGTTTATGCCATGTTTAAACATAAAAACTGTTGCGAGATTTATGAGATTTTAGGCATAGCCGTATAGTACCAGCTACTTTATTAACATATAAGAGTCTTGTATTATAAATTGTAGAAAACTTTAATTTTATTTAATAGAAAATCTCTATATTGCCAGTATTTAATTGTATATCGTTTGCTTTAGTGTCCACTCTTTAAATACTAGAACCATGCTTAGTTGGGCCTGGCTCTTTTGTATATCCCAGATGTCCAAGAGTATTTGCATAAAATTGATTTGCGTTTTTTTCTTCTTTTTTTTGTTGTTAGCAAATTAGACAAACAATTTACCCTCGGGGCCTGTCAACGGTAGGGCAACTTGTCAGCTGCCCGGCTTAACAAATTTTGCATTGTCTGTTCTAGTTATTTCTGTTTATTTTTCTTTTAGCTTCACTGAAATATCTTATAATTGGATTGACTTATTTAATTGAGGAACGCCATGCTCAACAGCCTATAAACTTTTCTCTGCCGCCCACCGATCTGGTTGGGGATGCATATGTTTTAATTTACGCCACAATAAAAAATCAATAAACCCGTCAATCAAAATTGGACACAAGCCACTGGCACGCCCCCGCATTGGTTCACGGCTTAACTTTATTATCAACTTTGTCTAACAATGCTAATGACGCCCCAAGAAAAAGTTGCCTCAAAATCTTTCAAATTATCGAAGGCGCAGAGTTGTGTGTATCGGTGGCTGCGTGGGCCGTAAAGCTTGCAAATAATAAGTTAGTTAGTGCTTGGAAGCGGTTGGTTGGAAAATAAAAGGAAGTCAATGGTAACGGTTAATGGACATACTTTTGCATTGTATTAGGTCGACCAAAGTTATATACACTCTATGGTTACTACATTCTATAAATATGTTTCTAGATATGTATAGAATTACATTTCAGCGATAGGTAAACATATTACATAAAAATAATTTTTTGTTGAAAAAAAGAAGACTGTTTAAGGACAACATTGCTATTTTTCCACAAGCATATTTCTAGAATTATATTTCCAGAAGTATATTTTATTTCATTCACATTCGAGCTTATTTGGAAGTTTTCCCATAATAAGGAAATACTATAAAGCAAAATATTGAGCACAAGATTTCAAATTTCCAGAATCAAAGACATGCATGTAATGTATAAAATTTGCATATTAAAATAAATTCTTTTTTATTTAATTAATGCACGAGTACTGTGTCGGTACAGGTAGGTAGGAGGTAGCCTGTGGCCAGGTCCGCATTAATTATATATCCTCACATATATAGAAAGGAAGACAGACAATTAAATATACACATGACTAAAATACAAAAACAAAATAGGTAAAGGGCTGATTAGAAAAATAAGAGAATAATGAACTAAATGAGAGAAAGGGGAAAGAAAAGCAGATAGAGAGAGAGAGTGCTTGTTCCTAGAATGAATATGAGCAGAACTGAGTTTATAAGATTGCCAACCAAACTTGTTAAAATAACACATAGAATCAAAGCTTGAAAATCTGTACTTGCATTCATGAAAATCGCATAGAATATATTTTAATTTAAAGCGCAGCGGTAAGCACACTTAGTTGAATAGATCCTTACCCTTACAATTTTCAAATAACATTTTACATAGATTGTTCGAAAATGATCTTCAAGTCGATCGGGTAAAACAGATATATATATATGTATATATATATAGAGAGAAAAAGAGATAGTTTCAGTTTTACTGACATATATATGCGTTATATATAAATGGGAAGTTTCCCTATTAACGAAATGTTAACTTATTTCCAAACTACAAACTGATGTGTAAACAGTTAATAATTTGTATTAGAAATAGAAACAAATTGGTAAATGGTCATTCCCTTAAGAGACCTATGCGTTTTTAACAGGTACTTTTGTTTGGGCTCGTAACTGGGTGCCTTTGACCAAATATAAATTCGCAACAGCGAACCAAATAAACAGGGTGAAACCTTCTAAGAACTTGCCGCAACATCAAACAACCCACACACACTCGCACGCGCTCGCTGCAGATACATTTCTCGCTCACACACTCATATGAAAGTCATGTGACAAAATATTTTATAAGGCTTATATATGTACGTATATAGCAAAAAAGGCAAACTTTATATGTATATAACAAAATTGCTGTTGGGTTAGCTTTCAAATGCGAAAAAAAAGAAAAAATAATATTTCAATTGGCAAGCTCAACTAATACGCATATCCACACAAACACACACGCACAAAAACAAAAGGGGGAATGGGGGCAAAAAAGGTATCTTTAGAATTCTTTCTTAAGTAACCGCATCAAACGCTTACATAGCAGCTGCCTAAGAGGACGAGAGGTGGGTGAGGGATTGCGCAGTAAACTTGAATCCTTGCGCACGGATTAGGGTTCCCCTTCGGCCATCGCTGCTGAGGCGCCGTGCAAACTATTACGTCTACAAGTGTCAAAGGCAGGCGGCATCGTATTTGGGGGAATGAACTGTGAGCTACTTTGCACTCTGTTAACATTAGAAAACCTCCCCTCAATCGATTTACATAAAACATCTTGGTACGAAGGAAAATATTATACAAGTATTGCAGCTCGTAAAGTGTAATCGGATAGCTGATATGCCTGCCAGTTGACACGACTGACTGCGAGATATCCATCAATCACAATTTACATTTACAGTATCAACATATAAATGTTTTATTTTTATTTTTTCTAGATCAACAAGCAAGTTTTATGCTTAAGATCCCACTGATTTAAACATGTCATTTAACTGTTATAGAAGAAAAAGGGCATTTGCAGGGTATACATTCGTCCATAAAATAAAAAAAGTTATTTTCTGTGAGCCGACGATTGAACATGTGTACATAAAACTAGGTGAGTTGGATAGGTTAGGGAGCTATTCAAATACTAAAACAGTTTTTAACAGTAAAACTTTAAAAATAAGTGTCCTTAACGGAGTTGATAGGCGAGGAGGTACCCTGTATTCAGCTCCAGAGCTGTCGTTAAAAGCTGTCAAATTTTGTATACCCTGAACCCATTGAAAATAGGTAAAAAGGGTATAATGTATGTAACAGGCAGAAGGAAGCATTTCCGACCCCAAAAAGTATATATATAATCATGTTACGTTTTTAGCAAAATCAAAGCAGCCTTGGTAAAAAGTGCGATTCTACGATTTTTTTTGGTGAGGATTTAAGTTTTGTCCGATTTGCTTCAGACTTATTTCTAAAGCATATAAGAACTTAATGAATACGTGTTTCAGCGATTTGCGAAATTCCACCCACAACAGTGGTAAATTAGCGAAAAATGGTGGTATACAAGTTTTTTGCTTACCATCCTATCGGCTTCAAAATCATTTTCAAGAGAATTTCTCTCACTTTGTGAGAATTTATTTGAAACTTTTTTGGGAGGCAACTTCGCGTCAAAGGTTTAATAAACGAAAGTTTATTCTTCAGCTAAAACATTTTTGAAATAGAAGTGGAGATCAAGATGGGTAGATTTAAATTTTCCACGGGCGTGTACTTTGTGGAAAGGTAATATATAAAAATTTTAGCACAAAACGTTCCATGGCCAAGGCCGGGCAATACACGCTAGTATATATATATTTAAATTTCAAGTCTATAGTTTTTGAATTTTCCGAGAATGACGGGTTCGAACAGATGGAGATGCCTCCTGCTGTCTATAACATAAATTAAAAAAAAAAAACATACCTTTTTTTTATAGGGTATACATATATAAAAGCAAGGAATCGAAAATGTATCTTCTAAAGCGTTACATATTTCGTGACAAAACTATATAAAATACAATGCAAGCCGCTTGAGCAAGATAATTTACTCAAGTCTATGATGTAAAAGCAGCTTCTAAGTAAACATGTTTTTCATTGCCTTTTCTAAATTTGAAAAAATTTCCATAAAAAAAACTATTTCCTAAAAATGTATATTTCAAACTCTTAGTTTTAAAGGAGAACAACTTTTATCATACGGCAATTCTATAAAATGAAGAGAAAACATTTTGCTAGCTCAGAAAAATAATTAATGTATGGAATGTCATTCTGTGTGCTTTCAGTATAGTTAAATATATATATAAATAAGATCTTAGCTGAAAGAACTAATTGTTTAATTTGAGATATCTATAAACATACATGGGTATGTACTTTGTTAGGTTATCTTTTTTAAAACCTAGCTCAAAATTTTTATATTTTCGGGCTTAGGGTATATAAAAGAAACATACCAAATTCAATAAACTATTATAATAATCGCGCATATTAAAGAAATTGGAAAACATTTGTCGTTTACTTAAAGATTGAATTGCCATTAACCCAGAGGTCTCTCTGGGCTATATGTGATAGTACGAAGTGAACGTGTACTAGAAAGCTGCATGGAAACGACGCTCAAAAGTCAAAATGTGTTTAAGGTAAATAGAAAATCGAAATATAATATCACGTAAATATTTGACACCACTTAGCAAATGCGTGTGTGCACTTTGTTCGTCTTGTTTTGTCCCCTATTTTTATTATTATTATTTTATTTTTTTGTAATGATCTATGGATGATACTTTACTCATAAAGCTGCGCGAAACGACAAGGAAAACATGAAAACAAATAAACGCAAAGGTTTATCTGTGTGTGCGTGGTGTCTGTGTGTTTTGGTTGATCCAACTCCGGCCGTCAGTTAGTTTGAATTAGGAGGCACCGTTTCCCTGGGGCTTGTCAGTCTATTTATTTGACCACACTTGATGGAGAGGTGGGCAGAAGGTGCCCTCTTTCGCTGCCCGAAGTGCTCTGTTGTTGCTATTTCTGTTTATGTAGCCACTAATTGATTGTGGCTTATCTCGATTTTCAGATCGCCGCACGAGGCTCTAAAAAAAAAACAGTGTTTGCTTCTGTAGATTTTGTTGTGATGATGAGATGAAAAAACAAAAAGAGAGGTGAGCTAGAATATACATAAACAACCCGAAGGGGTGAACAGTAAAATTAACAACCGACAGAGAAGTGAGGTTAGCAGAAGATTGAATACCCTTATGTAAAATTATGTCTTACGATTTTGCAGTATAATTTTGAAGCTCATTTTGTGAGGTTATCAGAAGATTGAATATCCTAGCAAAGATATGTCTTACGATTTGACAGGCGAACTGAGAACTATTTTCTATTTTCGATTCTTCCTAGATTTATATTATATAGTGGTTCAAAAGATGTGGCCCCTTTGTGGCCCCTTTGTGCTATGTAGGATTGGATTTTAATAAAGGACTTTAGAGAAAAAATCTTTTGTATACAAAAACTTAATTTTTGCTCGATTATTCCCAAAATAGAGACTAGGTCGCGTAGAAATAGACAGACGGATATAGAGTCGGCTGTTGGTACTGATTAATAAGGCATTATACATTTCATGACAAATTCACATCACCCGCTAAAGCACTCGATGTGATATACATATGTGCATAATCAGGTATAAATAATTAGTTTAAGCGCATTGTGATACACGAATATAAACATTATTTTAGTATGTACTCAAGTTTGTAAACAATAGCGTGGTTTCCATTTGAAATAAAATGTTCTCTGAACTTTATAAAATATTATTTACAATAAATGAAATCAAAATGTTGGATAAAGAACAGTGTACTTAAACTCGACCACTCAGTATCATCAAGCTTTAAAAACTACTTACTAAAACTGATAAAAGTAATAATCCGGGGATATTTAAACTTTGTCAAAATGGATTTACCCTTTTATGGTATTATATTGATACTGAAACCCATATTTATTTGGCAGTTATTTTTGACGGCTACAAGGTTACGCTGACTGTGAAAAGATATGTATCTAAAATTGTGGGTTTATAAAATTATGTATTTATGCAAGGCCAGTTTATTTTTGGTGCGTGGAGGAACCTTTTGTGTGACCCCTGAAAAAGACCTAAATAAATAAGCGAGCCAAATGAAAACACGAGGACATATGCACACATATGCTTTCACAAATTCCATGCGGGTTTTACTTTGTGAGTCTTGAGCATTTTTTGTTTTTTCGACTTTTGAGAATTGTTTGTCAAAACAGAAAAGTGCGAGTAACGAGGATAATGTCAAAGGCACACAGAACCGCAGGCGTAAAGAGCGCAAAAAGGTCAGAGGATTGTTAATCATGTATGTAATATGCACAGGGACTAACGCAAATTTGGACACCTACACACAAAACAGCCCACATTATAATTGTCCGTTGCTGAACTTGATTTAAGTCACGGCAAGTTTCGATTACTCAAAAGACCTTTATGACATCCCAGAAAAAAAAAATTGTGAAAACTTGTTCCACACGTAGGTGACTCAGGTGAGTCTCTTCTGTCAGCTATTGGATAAAACCTCAACATCCAAGCGTCGTTTCGATTTCACAATCGGTGGAAATTGAGCAGACGTTCAAATCGAGTGGGCTGCAAAACGATAAAGCTGTTGAAATCGCTTTAACGTTTGAAATGATTGAATAGACTTTAGACGGCGATAAAGTTTCCAGCGGATGAAGTAACAGAGGATTATTAAGATAGTAATTATTCATAAGCATTAAACTTTTTGAACCAACTGACTAAGAGCTAAGAGCTTAAGAAGTTTTTTATAATAATAATCAAATTTTATTATGTTTATTCTTAACGTCATCAAAATCATGTTAAATTAAAATACGGATATATTCTGTAAGGAATAGGTTGCCGTTAAAACTGATCCATATACAACTTTTAACAAAATCAATTGTACTGTTCGTGCTCAATCGATTTTTTTTAAATTCACTCCCATTAGTGGAAAATTAATGGAAAACATATAATTTACGTTTAAGCCTTAGCGAGTCTGCTAAAATAAGCTTAAAAATAGTATATTACGTAAAAGAAAAAACCCTAATTGACAAAGAGAAATAAAGTAGTTGTATTCACATAGTTTGTAAGAATTAATCATTGACTGTGTATTAAAGATCATAACTTTATGTAGTATGGTTTCGGATTCTAATGGCTTAGGGATATTATAAATATGTTTAAACACAAAAAATATAAAGCCTCCTTAAAAAAAAAAAAAAAAAAAAACACCCACGCACGCCAAAACAAATAAAAACAACTACTGCTGCGGCTATCAGACCTTGCCTAAAACCTACGCTTAAGATCCAACAAAGCATTAATTAATTTCATTGAATTTAATTTCTTGTGCTCTCATGGCATTGTGTAGATAGTATAGATGCCTGGTCCCCCTACCTCCTAGCCTATGTACACCCTATTGTGGCTGGCGAGCAATAATATTGTGTGTGTGGGTTGGTTGGCGCGCCTCAACTTTGGCTTGGCTTAGTCTGGGTTCGGTTTGGGTTTGGGTCTGGCTCGGTACCGGTTCATGCATGCGTGGGCCGGCCGGTTCATATGTAACATACATCGATACAATATATGTATGTACATATGTCTTCTCGCTTACACTGGATAGCTTGTGCATGTGGTCGCATACTATGAACGTAGTAAATAAAATGTGCAATCACGAAACCCAAGCACGCCGCTGGCAATGCTTTAGTAACTGATTAGCTGGGTAAAAAAATGTGCATGCGAAAAAAAATGCAACAGAAAATATTGTTGATGCATGTGAAAAATACAATTAAAAGCCAAAAAAGAATAAAATAAACGTATATATATGTATATGAGCGAAGCAAAAAACGGAGAAAAAGAATCAACAAAATGTGCACGAAAAATCAAGGTTGCAGTTCAGCCACATAAGGAACGTGCCCATCTAAAGCCCCAAAGTTCACATAACTTAAACTAGAGTCATATAGATATACATATGTTCGGTATTTGACAAATATTTCTTCTAATGAAGAATGGATGCAGACGTCTTTAAAGCCTTGAATACTACAAGTTCCGTTTTTTCAAAGACTACAGAAGCTAGAACATTTCTGTTCATATATAAAAGTATGTATTTTGAACCTTTTAAAATGATATTCGGTTTTTCATCAATGTCAAAACTTTAACAACAATCATTATTTTAATAAAGCAAATGTAAATTTTACGCATAAATAAATTAAGTATAGTTTTTAGTACTATGCACCCCTACCAACGCACATCGATTAGATTAAGTGTAAACTTCAGACTTGGCTATAGAAAATCTCCCAGTCGAGAGTTCTCGACTAAATCACTCTTATGTGTATATTTAATATATATATATGTATAATAATATATATATATATATATATATATATATATATAATATACATATATATATGTATATATATATAAATACTCTGTGTTCCATTTATATAAATGAACTGAGGTCTACATTCTAGACAAATAATTGATTAGTAAGCGTTTTTTGCTTTGAACGATTTTTTTTAATGGAAAAAGTTTAATCATCAGCAAATAGCACATGCGACTGAGCATCTGAAAATATGCATGGCTTCTTAAAAATCGATTAAGCCGCTATATTTACAATTGTTTTTGTTGTACGATGGGATTTTTTCTGCTATTCCGGATTCCCATTTGATAAGATTATAGATATAAACCCCTAATAAAACATAGTTTTTAAGTTCTTTTTGGAGCCAATAACAATAAATAATTGACAAATAATAATTGGACTCGATGACAATATTAGTTAAATGTAATTATCATTAAGAAAATATAAATTTCACGTGCTATCTAATAGCTGTATCCAGTTTTATATGTATTCGAGCAAGTGTACACTAACCATTCCCATCACTCATTTAAACGATAGCGTATCCAATTTAAACAGCTAAATATTTGGGTGATCATAAAACATACCTGAAAAATAAGAGAAAAATATACTTATTAGCAATTATTGAAAATTAATTAAATAAATGCGTATGCTTAAGATATTAATCACATAGATATTCTTATAAACAGAAAAATCCTCAACCCTCAAGTATTATGTACGAATAGCAAATCCATATTTTTTATTGTTAGTTTTTTGTTTTGTGTTTCTTAAGCTGGCCATCAAAACAAACCGCAAAATACCTTTTAAGAAATACTTTTGTATGAATTTCCAAGAAATTTGCCAAATAACTTTTGCAGCTTATAATTACAGGCTGTGTTGATTTTAATTTGTATATGTATAAATATTTGTTTGTATACTCTTGTGGAGTGTATTTTAATTTTGTCATGAAATGTGTGAAACCTAGAAGAAGATACATCCGAGCCATCAGACAATATATATTGCTGATCAGTATACACAGCTGAGTCGATATATCCATGATCGTCTGGCGAACCACAATATAATATAGCTGACATATGAATGCTAGTTTGACCAAATTCATATCTTATTTTTTCTTTATTATCTATTATTATCGATATCTATTGAAATACTTAATAATTCCTCACCAAAGGGCTTCAGTGTCAAAGAAGTGTCTCCTAGCATTTTTGCAAGACCGTAAGAGTGTAAAATATTCGGTGTACCGGAGCCAAAAGCCTTTTCTATAGAAATACCTTATAATTCCTCACCAAAAGGCTTCAGTGTCAAAGAAGTGTATCCTAGCATTTTTGCAAGACCGTAAGTGTGTATAATATTCGGTGTACCGGAGCCAAAAGCCTTTTCTTGCTGTATTTTTTTTTTAGAGTTTTGCATACTTATAAAAAAAGACAGCAGCTGTGGCGGTATATCGTGTGCCTGCGTGAAACTTAACACAGCTCAATTTGGTCAAAAGACATTCGACGGGCACAAGAAAAACGAAGAGTGTGTAAAGACTATGTATGTTGTATGACAGTGTATGTATGATTTATGTACACATACACATTCACATGCACACTCACAGATAAACATGTATATCAAACATGAACTTTGACTGATGGCGACAAAACGACGCCTTCTTACATTTGTTATAGTTATCCGCGTTGTTGTTGTGGTAGCCTAATTGAGTGGCGCCAACAATTGGGGAAACAAATTAATATTATCCGCAACCCCACAAGCTGTTAAAGACGATATTTTTATGATGTGTGCGAATTTTTGGTTGTTCGCTGGTTAAGTCAAAAATTAAAATCAAAATCAAAAGCTGAACGCAAATAAAATGCAAGCAAAATAATAACATTTCATTAGAAAAATATATGCATTGCAAAATGCATTAATAAACCCAAACCAAAAATAAAAAAAATTGTTTACAAATTGCAACTGAACTGATCAAATGAAAAATTTACAAAATTTAACGAAGAAATTAAATTAGTTAACGGTTCAAACCGTTTTTTCTTTTAGGATCAAAATGTTATTGATAAAAGGTTAGAGATTTTGGTCATGTTGAAGAACTAAAATTCGTTTGATTTACGACAATGTCATGTCTTATGAAAATATTTATTAAAACAATATTGATGATGACTATTGAAAAGCATTTAACAACTAATTGTTTTTGTTTATTTAGATTATTTTATTCAGATTACAATAACGATTGCCAACAGATTGCTTAAGAAATTTCCCTCTTAATCGGGAAAAATATCTACATAAAAATTTAAACTTATAGAAACGTTTTTCTAAATGTATTCTATATTAATTTAGCTGTTATGCTGAAGCAATTTAGCAAAAAATATAATTGCCTGATTTTGTAGAGCAACAAATACACGATTATAGGCATTTTTCCGGTATGTGCAAATATTTGCTTTCGCATAAAAAAAAAGAAAACAGAAAAAATATAACAAAAATTCAAACGAAAATATAATGAAAATATTTATGTATTTATTTATTTTCTTTTATCGTTTTGCCTTAGTTTTAGAGCACGCGGTCGCGGCAATTGGTTCGCATTATTTACGCAGCATTTAAATGTATTAAACAAAATTTTTTTGCTGAAATATGTGTCCGCCAGGTGGGTGGGCGGCCGCTTGGCTTTGCTGGGGCTTGGGGTTTGGGGGCCAGTCCGTGAGTGTTGACGCGTGTGGAGCGTACCAAAAACAGACGTCAAAGAAAGGCAAAGTGTGTAAATACTCGTACATGTATATCTATATCACACATATATATACACATATATCGTCTAAATATTTATATGTATGTGTATATACGTGATATTGAAATGTTGCGTCCAACGATTAGCGCATGAATGAAAAATCACACGACCATTGCTCGTACCGAGTGTTTCAGGCTTGGTTCTGCCTTATCGAAGGGGTACTTTTATACCCTGCAGTCATTGATGATGGGTAAAAAGGGTGTTACGCTTTGTTTGTATCGACTCCATAAAGATAAAATATTCTTGATCAAATATATATTGATCCTGAGACATGGTTAACTCGCATATATGAAAAACTACATACCCCAAACTAGGCATACAGGATCAGAATATTTGTACTCAGATTAATCAGATTAATTATGTCATTGTTGGAATACCTCCCTCATTTTCCTTAACAATTGGAATTTGGTAAAAAGTTAAACCTAATGCATATTCCAATTATAGTATTGGGTAAAGAGAAAAAGATGCACAGTCATGATGTTTAAAGTGCATGAAGTATGTATGTATGTTTATAAGAAAAAAACTAGAATGTTTCCAACGGTAGCTTGGCGTTGCGTTCAGGGTATCTGCTAGTCGTGTACTCCCAAATAGAGTACTTTAGCTTGTTGTTGTTTTTTTTTTAATTATTTTACCGAAAATTTGCCTTATACATTCAATCATTTGCTTGGCGTAAAAATAAAATAAGTATACGATAGATTGGCACCTATGCATATACATACATATACATACATATATGTATATGCATATATATCTTTGTTGAGTGTGCGTTGAAATAGAATCGAAAATAATTGCAGATAAACTGCATTTGGCTGTTGTTTTGTTTGGCAATTTTATAGACAGACATACAGCTGGCGCAGACACATACATATAGTCATTGAGCGTGTGTGTTGCCATTTATATGGCAAACGACAGACAAAACGCAACGCGTTTGAATATGTATCTATTTGTATATGTAGACATTTTGTTATATAGACATACATAAATATGTGTCTTTATGCATAAATTGTTTGGTTCTTTTTCTCTCTTTAATTTGCTATTTTAATTTTGTCTTCGCAGTCTGGTGCCTCGAAATAAGTTTCATGAATTAAAAATGAACGAAACGTGTTGTGTGTTGGTGTTTTATATATATAATTATATATATATTATTAATTAATTTAATTATATTCTGCACGTACGTCTTGGTCTTAGTTCAGCAAAAATGATAAATGGAAATATATTCTAATTGTTTTGCATTACCTATTTTAAGTGTTGTTTTAGAGAAGATTGATAGTGAAACTGAATTAGTTAATATCTTACATTTCCATCAGCTGTTCGGAATTGGATATGATGTAAATGAATGCCATGGCTAGTTACCAAATTAGGAATATTGTATTAGAATATTAATGAATAATAAGTTAACACGTAAATAATGCATTTGTTAATTGGATATAAGAAAAATGTCAATTTAATTAGCAATTTTTAATGCTACTTCTACTAAGCATGCGTATTACAATTCAATTCATAATATTATAAGCCAAAAGGATTTTTTGTTAATTGATATAAAATTTGTTTGTTCTTATAATTTGTACAATTATTCTTATAGCATATATACTCTCCCACGTTTCAAGAACAAGTGTACCTTATTGCAAATTAAGTTTATGGCTCGAATACGGTGCAAGTATAGCGATAATGCCGTTAAACGTCTGGATTTTTATTTTGGCCTAACAAGAACATTGCTGTCATGCTGATCGACAATAATTCTTAGATGTCTTTCTTAGAGGCTTTCTAGCCCAGTTGTAAAATATTTAATTCGATCGTTAACATAATAAATAATATTTCAACCGGTTTAAAACACACACCCATTTCGGTTAACTCCACCAGCAATTGTTATTTCTTTTTAAATGAATAAAGGGTAAAGACGACTTGTATCGAAAATAAACTGCGAGAAGACCGTACCCATAAGATGTGCTAGTTGTGCCAGATGAATATGTTCCTGACTGCACATTTGTTGGCAATAACAAATAATTTTATATAAGCTTAAAGATAAAAAGTGACTGCGCGCGTGTGCGTGTGTGTGTGTGTGTATAGGTCGTTGTTGTTGCCTCACTCTCATTCCTTTGACACGGCATACATACAACTCTTGCTATGTGATTTTCAGGTTTGTTTTTACGCGCGCGCTTCTAAAAGAATTTTTACGCATACGACGACGACGACGACGACGATGATGATGATGATGATGATGATGATGATGATGATGATGAGAATGATGATGGCAACAACAGATCCCAGTGCCAGTCCAGAGTCGTGGAGCTTCTCCACATTGCCATCACGCCCCCGGGGCAAAATGAGGCGATGGCGATGCGTCGCGACGCGCATGTATCTAGATAAGCAGACAGGGCAGCGTGCCACAAAAACAATCTCGAAAACAACTACAAGTGGACTACATGCTCGACTATGAATTACCCTGCACACATACTTAGTAAAGTATATATGCATTGTATATGATTAATAATATTAAGAGCCGACTCGTCATAAACAAAGAATGAGTAAGTGGTTCCGGTTTAATCATCAGCAGACTTTACTGTAAGTTCTAAGATTTCAAATGCTTTGTTCCCCTTTTGAGAATTTCAACCTCAAAACTAAATCGAGCAAGGCAGAGGGCATTATCCTTGGACTTAACCAATAGTTGATATACCAAAGGGATTAGAATATAGGTAATATTTAAAGACATTTTTATGAAAAAATTTGAAACCATTTAAAGGGTTAGGAAATCTATATAAATATATATTTTTAAAGATGTAATCTGGATTGTACAAAATTCAAGAGTTTTTAAGTATTGACAGTATCTATATATCGTTATTTATAAGATCTAATGTGTGTCCTCCTAAGAGCTCTTCCCTAAAACAAATTTCATGCACAAAACTCGATTGGGCTCAAAAATGTTTAATTTTCTGATAATCTACTCGTATTAGCCAGCGAGGTATATTCTTGGAACTACAGTATAAACAGGTCTCAAATAATATACAACTATGCGATACATGTTATAGTGCTTAACAACTTTCGAATGTGGCATCGCAATGACTAGGTGACTATTGGATATTTGCAACAATTGGAGGTGTTTTAGAAGAACTTTTCAAACAGACTACACCTATTGGCTGTGATTACAGGGTATTACACACGCGAACGACGGGTTGCTTTAGTCCAACACAACACACTAACGATGCCTTCTTTTTCTTCTACCTCTTGTTGTTGTTTCATTAATATTTTTTCTTCTCATTTTTTTGGTTTTGTTGTTGTTATTCGTTGGCTTCTTTCTTTCCAGGCAACCAATTTTCGCTGTCCGTGTGTATTTTTTACGCGCATTTGTTTACTATAGATACACAACAAACAGAAATCAACACACACGCAAACACACAGCACACGCACACATAATACACATGGCCAGCGTTATATACACAAATGGCTAAAGTTTTTGATGCGCTGGCTACTGTATGTGAATAAATATGTATGTATGGGTATGTTTATCTGTGTTTGCAATTGTATCTGTGTTTATACTTTGCCATTAGACTTAAATAATACCAAAATAAATAATGGTGTTGTAGTCAAGTTGAAGAAGAAGCAAAAACACAACAAAAAAAGAACAAGAGGAAGTTATGTTAGATTTTCTTCTAAGTTAAAAAAATATATATCTGAAATTGCTGCACTTCTGCTTGAGATACATTTGGGCGCATGGCCGCCGTAATTAAGTGAATTTTGTGGCCATTATATAAAACTGAAAGTTAAAGGCCAACTACGATTATAGCCGCCGTTGGTAGAGAAGCGGGTAAGGATGGGAGGGGAAAGTGGTGTGTGTGTGTGTAACCGCTACCGTGTTCAAAAAAACTACACACGGTTGCATTTCGAATGGAGTGGGAGGCTGGCGGGCACTCGGGCTTATTTGCTTAACGCGTGGAGCAGCAGGAGGGGGTTTGTGTGTGTGTGTGTGTTATTGGATTGTGTTCTCTTAAGTGTTCCTCATGCCCATTGTTTACTTTACGATTTAACAGGTAGCCCGCAGCAGTAAATTGTGTGCCTTTCCCCCGAAACCTCAACTAACGGGTTCATGCTAAGGAACTTGAGTCCATACCCTAATTAAATGTCTAAACCTTATAACTATCGATGTCAGTAAGGCATATGACAAGTCAAATGAAATGTCCAGATGAAAGAGTATCGCACGAGTGATCCAATTATTCTAAATGAAATAAGAACTAAAATTTGGAAAGATAAATAAAAATAAAATCGGAAAACGAATCTTAGGAGAAATCTCAAATAAAAAGTATAGTCTTTCTAAGATAAAGTATTTAACGGTCTCTTTTTGTATTGCAATTGTAAGAATCATAAAATAAATATTAATAAAAAAATTCAAATATTTCAACATGAGTTATATTTTAAGATCCTACATTATATTTTCCATTTTGACTTCTTCCAGAAGCTCTTCAAGTAATCACCGTTTATTTTCATTCTTCCTCCCGTACTCTCTAAGAGCACACTTACAACAAGATAACCCAGTGCTCTAGCTAACTATCGAAATAAATAAACAAGCTATCAAAATTTCTTTCATCGTACAGAAAGTGTTCTGTTCGTCGTGAGTGTCTAGTACGGCCATTAATATTATTGTGACCCGAAAATCTAAAGCAAAAACGTGTCTATTATAATTGTTGGTATTCGGTGCTTGGGTTGGGGTTGACACCACTTTGTCTTGATATAAAGTAATTTATTATATGATTTATTGGCTACTTGATTGATGAAGTCGTTTCAAGTTGATTGCACGATCATTTTATTGTTCGCCTCATGCGTTCTCCGTTTCAATTTGGGAGCTAGCAGAGCTGGAGCCAAGCCCCAGCACACACTATGCATTCCCCTACATCGTACACCTGCCAGTGATTAATATTGTAAGATAAGTTAAAATCAGCAAAACTAGTAAACAAATGCGTCGATCGTCTAATATGTAATGTGAATGCTTAATCGGAGAAAAGCAGAGGGTCAAAGTGAAGGAAGGAAAACGCTCAGCAGCACGCCAAGGAGTAAATGCTCTTAATGTTTGTATAACACAGGTGTATATAAAAGGTTTGTTATCTCTATATATAAAACTGTTTGTCCTGACTGACTGACTGACTTATTGACTGACTGATTGGTGATCAACGCACAGCCCAAACCGTAAGAGCTAGGAAGCTGAAATTTTCACTGTAGCTACCTTATGTGATAAAGGTGCACGTTAAGACGGGGTTTCGGGAAATTCCACCCGCGAGTATGGAAAAATCGCGAAAAACGTTTGTTTGAAACTTTTTTGTTCACCATCCGATCGGCCTTTAACTCGATTTCAAAAATCTTTGTTCAAATTCATTTGAGGAGTGTTTCGCACTTTTTGGAAAATCTATCCCTCCTTGGTGGAAATGGGGGTCAAAGATTCATTTCCAAGGATCTACATAAAAAATAATTTGAGACGCGTTTGGTGGAAAGTGCATTTCAAAGAATTTTTTGTGAATTTTAAGTTTTGTGCGATTTTCATCAAACCTTTTTTCAAAGCTCCACTCGCAACAGTAGTAAATAAGCGGAAAGCGTTTGTATGAAAGTTGTTAATATACCGTCCGATCAGTTTCAAAGCTTTTTGAGAACATTGATTTTATAAAATACGTGCCATGGGCAAGGCCGGGTTATTCCCGGTAGTGTATACATATTTTTATTATTATTATTAGGATTAACTATAATACGTTCATATTATAAATAATACTATAGTTAATTACTACAAAAGACCGCCAGCGTTTAGGCCTTCAGCTCTCCTTTAAAATAATTTCTTTTAGATTTGACTGGTTAAGTTGCATTCTTTTATAAAGTTGTAAATCTTATCTATGTTGGAGGGTGAGATTAAGGATAGGTAGGTCGATGGTAGTGTATTAGGGAAGTGGGTTCTCCTTATCTTTTCCGGTTTTCGACAGGTATTTAGAATATGGGTGGTCGATAGCTCATGACCACATAGCAGACAATTAGGTTTGCAGTCTCTGATCAGCAGGTGTTTTATTGTTTTTTATTTTTATTTTTCTGTTGTTCCATTACGAATCAACTATAAATTAGATGTCAGGAAGATTAAGCCTAGCAGCTCAAAATAATTTGCAAATAAACAAATAAAATAAAAATTTTAAAATGTAATTAATTACTAGAGTCCGGCTCAAAGGTTCATTGTAATCAAATAATTATTTATTAATATTAATCAAAATTGTATGCAGGCCATAAAAACCATGAAAACGGTAGATCGACAAATATGTGTCTATTGTGTGTTTACGAAACATTTTCTATTTTAAAAATGAATCGAAAGTGAATTTTTTATCATCGACAGGAAATTGCGGCCTTATATAAAATATCTGAGTGTAAATACAAAAATAACAAACATATTAAGCCAATATTCTAATTCAAAACATTATTATATAAAAAAAAAAGTTCATTAAACTTTTTATCTTTGCTGCATTTAATTATAGATGTGGCATGAAACCAATGCAATTTTATATTTTCCAACGACCGCAAAGAACCTTATAAATATTTCATTGAAGATAAAACAATGGGAGATGAATAACTTCATTGATATTCGTCGACATTTATACTTTGATTCCTAAAAAAATGCATCATTCCGCAACACTTTAAAGTCGATTTGAACAAATTAAGAAATCTGTCAAGCCAAAAACGAACAACGTAATAAAGCACGCGTTGAATATACATTTAATTATTCGAATGTCAATAACTCTTTCATTATACAAATATTTTTAGATTTTTAGATCCTCACCTGATTTATGTACATTGTCATATTGAAACGGAAATCAATATAATTTGAAAA